GACGGCATTTTAAATTCGCCAGTGGTGACGTCACTGTGCACGGAATCGACTCATCTTCCTACCCTCCCGGGTAGATGAGAGACCCTGGGAACGAAGTTGCGATTCAAGTTGTATTAAGTTAATTCTCATGGTATTGCCCACAATGCGATCGATAAGCCAAATGGGACGAATGTTATGGTAGGGGACTCGCCTTGTTACGAAATTATTCGTTATAAAGTCTTGAATCCGTCAAATTATTTCTGTTCAAGGAGAACGGAAGTTGAAAAGTCTTCCTTTATCGTTTAGTTGTGATTTGTGCGAACACTGTAATAATGATTATGCTTGTTTGTTTTGTTCCTTTAGGGTTCATTTCAACAGATGTGGATATCCAAACAAGAATACGAAGACCAAGGAAAAGGATGCGTAGAAAGAAAGTGTCCTTAACTCCTACGCCTTTTATAACAAGAACTAAACTATATTTTGTATTTAGTGTACCATAGAGACGTATCAAGAGCATTCCTAGAGCTCTATTAGATCTTTTTATCCTTCAATAATCTCTCTCCCTCTCTCTCCGGTCTTTTTTTCTCTGTTGAAGTGCGTTTCATCACACCCCGTTATCAACAACTCCCCTCCTATTCACTCTTGCTACTCATCTTTCCACTCGTGAATCTCGCGAAAATTCTCTGTAGAGAAACTGGTTTGTAAAACTGGTTATGGGAAGCCCCTCTCCGCTATTTCACATCTAAAAACTGGGAGATTGTCAGAAAACAAGGCGTTAGGCTGGGTATCGGAGATAAAGTAGGATCTCTTGAAGATGCCACAACGTAATCTTTTGTCATGGAATAAAAGATAATTTAAGAACTGGGCGGTGTTCTTGATATCAGAATAATTTAGTTACATCATTCGATGCATTGTTTTTTCTTCCATTGCCCGAGAGCCCGCCTCGTGACTGCCTATAACGTCTAAATGTGTTTTTCTACAAATAATAATTATTATGCTCATGGTTATTTGTAACCACGCTCTTTTGTGAAAAATGGCAGACCGCTTGCCTGAACTGTCGGGGAATGATTTACGTATGAAAGCAAACTTATTGAACTCTGTCATCGCAAAATATCGTGATTTGTCGGTGTCTCGCGGATCAATTATCTGCCTCATTCTTCGGCTTTGGCAAATAATTGAGCTGCTCGCCACTGATAAATCACGATATTTTTTCTCGACCTCTTCCAATAATTGTTAATTGTTTACATGTTGGAGCTGTGAGCATTTTACTGGAACTTTTATGTCGGAAAGGTAACTCTCATGTCAGCGACATCACCCTGTTTTAGTGTGGCTTGCACGAATTGTAAACGACTCAATGTATCTAATCCGGGCGGGTTCCGGGCGGAATTTAACGGTGAACAGAGCGCTTGTCACGTCGTTTACTGGAGAGCTTGGGTATTAGTTTGCTGAACACCTCAAAGCGTGAAGTCGGTCATTTTTGCTTTTGCGAATATGTTGTTTTTTGCCCATCGGCCTTTGCTCACACGTAGATGAAAGCTGGGAGAGGTATTTATGACTGTGGTCATGTATCCGTTACAACAGCAGCAAGGTCGGCGAGGTCAACGAATAGATACAAGAGACTCGGAAGACGATCTTGTTCAGCTTGTTTTAATAGCAGATTTCTTGGCTAGAGAATTTGATGGTTTCACACGCTTTCTCTCTTTATGGAGCCCAAGGTAAGCTAAAGTTCATGTCACACTTGGCCTCATTGTTTCTGTATTGTTTTATTTTGTACATACACACTGAAATTCTGGCTGTGTTACCGAAGTTCGATTTTGTATTTTAAAATACTTCAAGCACGGAATTCGAATTGCCTCATCTTTTTAATTTGCTGTCGTTCACACTTGTTCACCACAGATGGTATGCACGTAAACCTTTATTTACGATCGGTTAAATATAAGTTACTTTGAAATGTTTCAGTGATGGATGGACAAATTAAGTCCAAGAGACTGTAAATTTACTTTTTGTGAGAGGGAGATACATGTCAAACACGCATGGTGGCTGGTGATGCAGAGTTTGTTTTTGCTTCTAGACATGAGAGATTTAAGCAAATTGAAATCAAAACTCGAAATAATTATGACTAAGAGAATGCTTGATACTTGTCAACATAAGTATGTTTTGTAATCTTTGAAAAAACTTATGGAAGAGATATATCTGCAATCCTTTTGAATATTACTGCATTGCTAGTGAGATTAGCACAGACAATTACCAAGATATGGATCAAGGAACAAAATACCGTGATTTTCGTTTCCAAGAAAGAAACTTATTGTTATTTTGCTTGCATACATGACAATACGTATTACCCTTATTAGCGGAGCTCCGGCGGCCCGAAGGGCCGCCAAGTGGAGCCCATACTCATATCGGAAAGAAAAGAAATCCATGAATGAATTTTCTCATGGTTTTCATGG